ATAGGCAAATCCCAAATTAGACTAAACTTTTCAATCTGTGAGCAATGTACCCTCCATGTTTGTAGCTCTTTGTATGCTGACCTAATTGAGAAGGTCCCGGACAAACCTGGAATCCAGTAACAAGTGTCTTGTCTTCCTTGTTGTAGACTTACTCTTGAGAGAAGATGTTCAAGATCTCTAAACTGGGGTAGTTCCCATTCAAACCAAATTCTACGCCATTTGAGGTCCCATTTCCATGTTGAGCCAACCCAGCTACCCATGTTATCTATCGTATCATTTTGTTGTTCGGAGTTTAAGAATGCTCGAGGTAGACATTTTGCTAAACAATCATCCCCTAACCACCTATCCGACCAAAATCTGATTTGGTTACCTTGGCCTGCTTTCCAAATGAATGCTTTATCAAACCATTGCGCTTGATTGTCACCCCCACAGACCTTTTTGAGATCTCTCCACCAAATGGAAGAAGCTTTACAATTTTCTTGACTGTTGAGATTATGTCAGCCGTTGTACTTTGAGTCCAACACCCTCCACCACAGATCTTCCTTTTGTTGAGACAAAGTCCACCTCCATTTAGATAGTAGAGCCTCATTGAAAGTGGAGATGTCTTTAATCCCCAACCCACCGCAATTCCTAGGCCTACATATCTTCTCCCAGCTCACCCAAGAGACCTTTTGTTGCCCTTCTTCACTATATGTGAAGATGAATTTATATTAACTTGTAATTTGTATTTATTTATTGATAAATATTATATCTAATCTAAGAGGGATAATATGAGTTTTTCTTTTTTTATTACTTATAAATAAATTTTGGTACCCCTTTACCGTTATTAATATATATTTTTTTCCTGGTAAAAAATAAAACTAAAAATACTCCATGCGAAGATAACAAAAACATCATTGCACACGAGCTTCATTAGTTCCCCGAAAATAAATTATCCACAGATAAACGAGTATGTTGAGTGCTAACACTTTCTATTAGTATATTAATTTGGAAACAGATTTTCAATGCCCATTAAATAATTCCTTGAAAGCAAAAAAGAGAGACAGACTGATTATGCCTAGGTTACGTAAACGTTCTAAATATTAAGATATTAGAGTTGAAGATCCTTTTCTAAAGTTCTCCACAACTTATAATTTACTACTTCTTTATTGCCCTTCCCCTTCTTGTGTGTTGATCTTTTGAATTTTAAATGTTGGGGCTTTGCCGATCACACTTAAATTTTTTTTTTTATAATAATATAATATTTGTTATTAAATTAAAATGACTTTTATTTATATTATAAATATTATATATTGATATATTATTTAAAAAATATAAATATAAATTATAATGATAATGTGACACATAATATATATTATTAAACTTCATTCAAAAATTAATATTAAAATTGCATGTAATTATATTTTAAATAAATTTATAGTTATATATATTATATTTAATAATATTTTTTATATATATTATTATATGTAACATTTTTTTCTAGTGACATATTTTGAATATGTTGAAATATATAACACAATAAAATTACTGTACTTTTTATAATTTTTTTTAGTTATCATACTTGAGTTTTATTAGAAAATCTTTTAAATATTATAGCGTAAAATTTACTTACTAATTTTTCTAATAGTGAAAACATCACATGAAACATAGTTGATACAGTATAATTATATCAATATTTCACTTTTAGATATGTTATTAATGGCCTAATGAATTATAATAAGAATTTTAAAAATTAGAAATAATAATTTTAAATTTAAAGGATAAATAAATTTATCTTAAATTTAAAAAACTTAAATCGTATTTAACCTTATTTTGTGTATACATGGAACAAACAATGACGAAATCAACTCGTAAACAATTTATATACAAGTCTGTCTGCTAACGAGAAGGAATAAAACATGAAAAATGATAACGAAGTAATATTATCTAGAGAGTGTACCCTTAAGATAAATTAAACAAGAGATATTTACTATTCTTTGGCTACTCACGAAGATTTTTATTACTAAAGTTACAAGAACTATTAATTGTTTCGTACTATTACAAGTTTCTTTTCTTCAAGTTTCTTCATTTGAGATACATATACAAGAATTTCGGTTTGATTTTCATTGAGTTATTGTTGTCATTGTACACGAATAAATCTAATCAAATTATAATTTCCTTTTAATTATCAATTCAAAAGTTTATTTTATATATTATCATATATATCTAATAAGATTTAATAAATTTTTTATATCATCATAATAAATGTCACTTGAGCCAACTTTTATAGAATTAATTGGTTAGTTTTGTTTGGGTCATGTCATAGCATAAGCAAAAGCGAATAAATTTAAGGGTTCTATACTAGAATGAAGAACAAAATTGATTACTTTATTTGTTTTTGAAGGAGAGAAAAACTTGGGAGATCTTATTCACTTTCGAGGACCATGCTAATGCTATTGGAATAGGCTTTTTTAAGGTGGATCTTGACCCAACACATGATAGCAATTTTTACAGCATCTTATGAAATGATGTGAATGAAATTACATCTTTTATGGTACTTTCAAAATTCAATTCAACTCCTCACCAGAGGCCATAAGTGACACTCACCTTATCCGGAAGATACCCTATACCTATTGTTCTCCAGCTCCACCCAACTACCATCTAATCTACTTTTACAAAATTATAATTAATTACTCTAATTTTATTTAGACTAGAAAATTAATAACTGTAACATGACATAATTAATAATTTATTATAAGTCGAGTTATTTAAATTTATAGAATAATAAATTCTTTGACTTATTATTTTATCCAATCATAATTAATTAAACAAAAATTTATCCAAATCAACTTAACAAAAACTAATCCAAAAAATATAATTAAATTAATTAGTATAGATTATCGTTGCCACTTACAGGATATAGAAAACAATCATTCCTAACTTCATATTATTAAAAGAGTAAACTTTTGGGGTGGTAGAACACCGTGAGTAGAATTTTTGCAAAGTGTCATAATAGGAACTTGATATTGTCATATATTGGTATAAAACGAAATGAAAAGTAAAAGAACAATTTGTACCATACTTTTCTTACGGTCATGCACCACTAACGCACAGGTAGAACTTTTAGTACCAAAAATATAAAAATAAGAAAAATTCTTATATGCCAGCTAGAGTAAAAATAAATATTTATATTAAACTAATTATTTGATCCTTATATGTAGCACTTTAAAAATTAAACTAAGTATAAAATTTTTTTAAATTTTGTCTCTATAAAACTGTTTAAAGATTGTAAACCCTAAATCTTAAATCCTAAAAAAAAAAATCTAAACAAATATTTATCAAGATAATAAAATTATAAAATTATCAAAAGTAAAATAAACAAATAACAATATTCACAATCTAAGTGTGCCTTTACGCGAATCACAAGAACAGAATCGGAGTCGGATTCAACTAACACCAAATAGTATGACCCATTCAAAAACACACGGTGCACATTATAGAATAATAGAACATTAAGCTTCGGATAGACATATAAAATATATATCAGATAAAATTCCATATACTCAAGGTATATATATGTGTTTCCATTTTTTTGTAAAATTAATTAGTTTTAGTTCATTTGTAATTTTTTTAAATTTCTATTTCTCTAAAATTTGAACTCATTAATTGATGTCACGCATAGATAAAAAGCTAAATATATTAATTTTAGAAGAAAAAAAGGGCTTTTGCATATGCTTAAAAAGCAGAATTTATAGGAAGGAAAAAAAAGAAATACATTTGATTGTATAGTGTATATTGAATTATTACAACTTTCAAGCACTTTCTCGACAACAATAAACCACGAGAGAAAAAGAATAACAGAGCGACACATATACGATAATAGTCTCAAAGTGAGTGGTGGGGGCAACATCAACATTATTCCACAATCCACTCACTAAAATCTACCTTGTCATCCCAAAATTGTATTCTTCTTACCTAGCAATTTCTTTTGCATGTTTCCCTGGATCAGGATCGATCAACTTGTAATTTTTATTATTTTTTAAAAATATTTTCATGCTCTAATTTTATCTTTTATTACAAATATAAAGTGATATATTTAGTACGTTTAACATTGTTTTAAATTAAATATGTATCTGATGATAATATTAAGGATAAGAGACACTCTTCACTTTTAGAAATTTTTTTTCCTACACTTTTAGTTTAGATTAATACACAGATTACATTACTTTCTGATTCTAAAAATAAAAATGTGTCATACTTTAATTTATTTTGATGGAAACGAATCCCTTAATAATAGTGATATAAATGAACTTTTTTAAGGATATTCTTTTTATGTTCCCACTTTTTACAACTTTCAATATCACAAATAGATAAATTTCAATAACCCTTTTTCAGTCTTTAAAATATATAAGTGATTGAATCACATTATTAAAAATATTTATTTTGTATATATTTCAATTAAATTCATATAATTAACAAACAAATTCTTGATTTCAATAATATTAAATTTGATTTATCAAAATAAAATTTTAAATTCGAATATTGTTAACAAGAAAAATATAGTTGAAAGAACTAAAAGTAATAGATTAATATCTTCAACAAAAAAATTAACCATCAATAAACTTGATAAATACTTTACATGCTAATATGTTAAATAAATAAATAAGTTCATATAATTAAACATGAATTAAGAAAAGGTATCATTTTGCGCTAACATCAAAATATACAAAATCAAATTCATTCATATAATCCAAAAGCATGAAATGATGCATAGATATAATCCAAAAGCATAGCCAAGAGAAGTTTAATGCTGACAGAGCATTTACAAGTTGTCTTTCTCCACTCACTTGGCCCCATCCTCTAGACTCTAGTACACATGATGTTGCCAAGTAAGTCAGAAGGGTTCCACACCAAACCCCACTCCCAACCCAAGTTCATATCATACTCTAGTATTATTATAAGTATTATTATTATTATGCATACATGACCAACCATAATTCAATATAAATTTACACACCCTGAGGCCTGAACAACACCAAACATCATCACCTCCACAAATTCATTCCTTTATGTAATTCTTCCCCCCCTGCATCATCTAACTCTGTTTGCACCTTCTTCCTCTGTTTTCCTCTGCCCTTCCCCTGTTTCCCACCAATGATTACAACAAAGCGGGTCCACGGATTCTTCAAGTTCCGTGCCTTAGTGCTTTCCCTTATCTATACCAACCATTCTTTGTGCCTTGTGAATGCCCAAAACTAACCCTCTCTTCAACCCTTATCTGCCACAAATTCCCTGCAAAGTCCCTCAAACAAAAAGGAGTATTTTGACACCAACCTGTCACTTTCCTTGTTAAATAGTACCTTCTTATTCTCCCATCCAATCACACCTTGCACCACTTTCTTTCTCTCCCTGCAACTTTCGTTTTCAAATAGAACAAGAAACGAGAAAAAATCAAATGGTTGCCAAGGACTATAACCACTTAACATGTACGGTTGTGAACATGGGCAAAATGATGCAGAGCATTGACTATTCTACACTTTTCTGGCTATTTTTTGGGGTCTTCTCACACGTAAACCATGAAGGAAAGCCTCGAATTTAGGATAATAAAATAACAAAGTTGTTCTGCTTTTAATTTTTCACCTTTTTTTTTCTCTGCATCATTAAGTTGCAGCGTGGAAGATATAGTGTTTCAGCAAATATAAGAGGTGGTTGTTTAAGGTTGTGCTTATAGATAATAATAAAACATGTATTGCAAGAGAGAGCACAAGGAAGATGGAAAGGGAGAGCATGGTTATGTGGAAACCGACCCAACTGGTCGCTATGGCAGGGTAAGTTCTAATCTCCTGTTTTTCTCTGTTTTCACTCCATTTCTTGTGCCATTTGCTATGTTGTTTGAATTAGGATTGTTATTTATGCTTAGCATTGGAAAAAAATACATCCCCCCTTGTTTTTGTGTATCATAAGTATGCATTTGTTGTTTGAGACGAGACATACTTTTTTGCCATTATTGTGCACATGGTTATTGTTGTGAGCAAGTTTGAGCCATGTGCTATATATAGTTATGATTAAACTTCAATAGGTAATCTCCTAAAGTTCTAGTTAGTCGAGGGGTAATATGTGTTATCAATTGTAAATGATTGAGGCATCTTGTTTCTTATGTAACATATACTATGTGTTGTTTGTGATTGATTATTAGTTTGGAGATGTTCTTGGAAAAGGAGCAATGAAGACAGTGTACAAAGCAATTGATGAAGTTCTTGGAATTGAGGTAGCATGGAATCAGGTCAGACTCAATGAGGCACTTCGCACACCGGACGATTTGCAGCGGCTTTACTCAGAGGTTCATCTCCTCAGTACCCTCAAGCACCAGTCCATCATAAGATTCTACACTTCTTGGATTGATGTTGATAACAAGGCCTTCAACTTTGTCACAGAATTGTTCACATCAGGGTCACTGAGAGAGTAACTAACTTCCTTTCCAACTATCAATTAGGCAATCACTCAGTCCCATTGTGTAGTTTGTTCCTTACAAAAATTAGGCAACTTAAGACTAAGACATCACATGGATTGTGTTTGATACAAATGAAGCTATTGGAAATTTTAATAGATTATATTTAATGGACACTTACTAGGCATCAAAAAAGAAATTAGAATATAATCATAAACGTGAAATGTATATTGCAACTTTGTGGTTGTTATATGCCTTTTGAAATAACTGATATTTTTCTGACATGTGCAGATACAGGAAGAAATATAAGCGGGTAAGCATACAAGCTATAAAACATTGGGCACGCCAAATCTTGCAAGGTCTTGTTTATCTACATTGCCATGATCCACCTGTGATCCATAGGGACCTCAAATGTGATAACATATTTGTCAATGGTCATCTTGGACAAGTAAAAATTGGTGACCTGGGACTGGCTGCAATTCTCCGTGGTTCCCAATCAGCACACAGTGTCATAGGTATACTCACTTTTGTCCCAGTGTGTTGCAAATTTGTAGTTACTAGGTAATAAAAAACTGCTATTATTTATTCTCAATTAAAATTTCTACTTTTGTGCTAGGCACACCCGAGTTTATGGCACCAGAATTGTACGAGGAAGAATACAATGAACTAGCTGATGTATACTCATTTGGCATGTGTGTGTTGGAAATGCTTACATCTGAATATCCATATAGTGAATGTTCTAATCCAGCACAAATCTACAAGAAAGTGACATCGGTAAATTCAGATTCTAGTGAGTTTAAGGATATAAGTGAAGCACTGAAGCTAGTTGTTTTATTTAAAATTAACATTTCATATTTCAGGGGAAACTACCATTGGCTTTTTTCCGGATTGAAGACATGGAAGCACAAATGTTTATTGGAAAATGCTTACTACCTGCAGCAAATAGACCATCTGCTAAAGAATTGTTGCTTGACCCTTTTCTTGTGTCTGATGATTCAACATCCACGATTAAGTTTGCAATTCAGAAGCCATTTTTGAATGCCAGTGAGATGGAGAAACTGCAATTAAGTGATAATCTTCCTAGGACTGGAATGAAAGTGATAGGGAAGCTGAATCCTGAAGATGATACTATCTTTCTCAAAGTGCAAATTTCTGACAAGGATGGTTTGTAATCTTTCTCTTATTGCACTATCTAGTTGATCCATTTTGACTTTTGAGGAAAATTTTCTCTTAAAATTAGAAGTCCAAGACCAAGACTCTGAGTACATGCTTCTTGAAATTTGACCAATAAACAATTAGTCATGTTTTTAGAAATTGTTTGTGCAGGTTCAGTTAGGAATGTATTCTTTCCCTTTGACATTTTCAATGACACCCCTATTGATGTTGCAACTGAGATGGTGAAAGAATTGGAGATTGCTGATTGGGAGCCTTTTGAGATTGCAAATATGATTGATAGAGAGATATCTGCACTGCTACCTCACAGGAGGGAAAGTGACACATTCAGTTATCTAGATGATGATGATGGACCTCATCATCATTTCCGCTCCTTCTCTTCTAGTTCATCATTCAAAGAATCAATGTCAGATTTAGTCAGCAAAGCTGAGGAAATATCAAGTGGATATTATTGGCTCCATGGTATGTATTCTTGGTCCATTTCCCTATTGATTTTGTGAATGTTAAATAGCTCCACAGATTTAGTTGTACACCAATTGCAAAGTGGAGAGAAATTATTACATGGTTTGAACCACCATGGTCTGGAACTACTGTATTTTTAACTAATCTCCACATAATAGGTGATTGAGTGTTATTAATTCTTTTAGTGAATTAAAATTTTTGATTACGTATCAAGTAGAGATTAGTTGAAACTATAGACAAATGTTAGTTTAAATATTAATTTTTAGTCTCTATAGGAACCTGACAAACACAAACTATTATTGCAGATGAATTGCATGATGATACTAGTTCACAATGTTCTTCACAAGGGACATATTCCAACTTGAATTACTATTCTGTGGATGATCAAGAGTACAACGTGTCTTCTAGAAAAGATAATAAACTTCCAATCATAAAGAGTCACAAGGGCAAAATGGTTTCCCCAGGCGAAGACTTCAGCAATTTCAGCCAGTGTAAAGGCATGGTTGGATCACACATTCCTTTTACTTGTAAAAGTAAGATGACGACAAAAAATCACAGATTAACAAGGAACAGATCCTTAATTGATTTACGGAGCCAGCTATTACATCGATCTCTGGTTGAAGAGATAAACAAAAGAAGATTATTCAAGACAGTTGGTGCTGTGGAAAATATTGGATTTCAGGCACCTTGTGATGTTACCACAAAAAGGTCACAACCTGCATGTGCTGCTTCAAATGAGAACTCTCAAAGGAGTGGCAAGGGAGAAAAAATTAAGAGATAATAAAAAGAAACATTTACAAACGAGTGTCTCTTGAACATTGAAAAATAAGATGTAATGCGTACGTAGTCTTCAATGTGTTATATCCATGAGAAAATATGATGTGGTTGATTTCATTTGGGGTAATTAGATTTCCAAAGTAGAAAATATTAATATTAAAGTTTGGTGGCCACTAAGATAGGCAAATAATTGAACTGTTTGGGAGTTAGGCTCAAATGAATGTGATTATGTGTATAGATGTACATGGAGTGTGCTGAACAAAAGTAAATGATTTTTTGGCGATGAAGAAAGTCTTCTCAAGGAAGCTGGACCAACATGTTATAATATTTCTATTCCGTGGATGAAAATGAAAGTATAAGTGGTGCAGCTGTCAACAAGGATTAAGATCCACGATGCTAGTGGTTTGTTTTACTAGTTTCTTTCCCATTTTTGGAACGTACACCGATTTGCACGTTGTTAAATATGACTGTATGTTAGCCCTTTGTTGTCAGTTATCAAGATTTAAAGAGCCATGAGGCTGGAATTTTTATTTTTTATTTTTTTTAACTCAGGTCGTGTGTAGTTTGTGTGTGTGGCATTGACATGGTAACATGAACTTTGAGGGTAGCAATTAGGCTAAAAATAAGTCAAATTAGAGGTGAAAGTAGGTAAAATCGTACTTTGACAGACTTAAGTTAGCTTCAAAATCAATCCTAATTACACAGTTTTTCCTTCTCACAAAGTCTATTTATTTAGCCTGTTTTGTGCAAGGTTTTGACACTATTTTTCAATTCGGTTCCCATGACGTGTGCGTTTACATGGACACAGTGAATGCTGATATGTCACGTTAGCGTTATCTACAATCATGTTGTTAACAAACTTTCATCTACGTGGGAATTAACTTGATGGAAGGAAGCTATTTTCAGGAACTTATTTTAGTTTTTCATCTTCTAGGGACTAAATTGTACCCATCATACACTTTCATGGATCAATTTGGTGGTTTAACCATCATTTAATTTTTAAGAGAATTTCTATGGTACCTTCAATTATTGAGTTGTTTTGGTACTGTAAGTGATGTGTAGTTGATGTGTTACAGTATGAAAACCCTTCTTTTATAGAGGGTTCAGTAGTAATGCCCAATTTTTAAATTAAAAAAAAAAACTAAAAGGATGGGAGTTACCACGTTTGACCATTTTGAATCTAAAATGGCATTCTTCGTTTGACCATTTTGATCTACATCTTTAGTATTTACTTCTGGTAAAATGCGATATATAAAAAAATTATATAAAACGAAGGATTTAATGATGGACTCCATTTATGACTAATGAACGAATACTATGAAAGGTGTGGAGCTGTATCACCATCTCTTGTCTCATTTGTTAGATGCTTCAAGAGCGTCCCATAACTCCAAAACAATTTTTGTATGACAAAATATTTTATGAATATTATCAGATAGAGCATTCAAAATACGACCATGACACAATATCTTTATCACTAGAAGAACTAGCTTCAACCAAGGCACATTCAGAACAATTTTCAGAGTTTCCATTTAAAATAACAGAAAATAAATTCAACTCTGCAAGCCAAAATTTCATCTGTTGTTGCCAACATAAAAAATTTTCACCAATAAATTTTTCTGGCTTACTACTCAAAGACTCTAAAATATCCATTGCAGACATGTTGATATTGAACAAGAAAAGAAAATTTTCTCTCTAAGATTGTTAGAAAATAAATTTAATAGAACACAAAAAAATATATTTAGATTTTCCAATAAAATCAATATCAACAACACAATGAATATTATAAAATTAAAACAGAGCAATCAGTAACAACTAATTAAACACAAAGAGCAAATTAGAATGTTAAATAATAGGTTTAGAGTAGCCTGAGTTAAAGCACGCATAACGCTATTCTTAGAGAGAAAACGCCCCCACTGCACTGGTAATTTAGAGTCTTATAGTGTGCTCCTCTCCCAAGATACGTCAACCCGTTAGATCGTTTGAGTGCAGCGAAAGATCCCCGAACCAAAGAACACCGCTTCAAAATTATAATTTTGTAGAATAATATTGAGGGAGAGAAATCAAATGAACTTGCTGTGTGTTTTTTTTTTTCTCACGTATTAATATATGTACATAGGCACAATTGGATTCCCATTTTTCTAGCTTCAACAGTATGTGCAACAATTTTAAAATTTGTTTTGCAAAACTTTCCGAAACAAGTGCATGTACTGTGCTAACTAATAGGAAAAAGAAAAAATTGTAAATCTTGGTTAAGGTGCATGTACAATCCGAAAACTGTTTTTAGTTTTTGCAATGTTATATAAGAAAAAGGATTAATCATATTAAATATTTAATTTAAATTTTAAATTATAATTTCTCAACAAAAAATAAAATAAAATATATATCCTGTTATCATGAATTAAAATAAACTAAATACTGCACAGGGTATATGATAACTACATTTTCTAGAGACTGTTGATAACTATATATTAATTTATATATATATATATATATAAATACCATTGTAATCGCGTGCGACAATAATAATCTTGCTTATAATTACGGGATCATTTTGACGTTGTATGTCTTTTCTGAAATATTATTTTTTAAAAAAAAAGTTATGTGGAATTGGGTATTGTTGTGTTGACCACCAACACCCAACACCCATATTGACTACTCCAAAATGAAAAAAAAGGTTTTAAAATAATCTTATTTGTGTAATTAATTTTAATATTTTACCTTACTTGGATGAAAAGGCACAGATGTGTGGAAAACATGCAGAAAAACGTGTAGAAAACATGCTGAAGGAGAAGGAATAATCTGTTTGCAGAAAAAAAAATGGAAACTTGCAGAAAACATTCAAAAATATTTCAAGATAATATAATTTCGTTTGAAATTTAGTAGCATTCAAAAATAATTATATCATGAGTCCTTCATGATATAATTTTCGTTTGAAATTTAGTAGCCCCAAATCAATTCCTGGACTCATGATGTGACACGTGTTACATGTACCACCAAAAGAATTTGAATATTTCATACCTAATTGGCAAAGGACTACAATGCTAAAAAAAATAAAATACAAGAAGTGATATAATTATTAATATAGTTAAATTTATTTTCTACTTGTAATTTTTTAATTGGCCCAACTCAGTAAAGGTACCCAAACCCATAAAATTAGTGGGGTTTTATATGGCTCATCAGAATATTGGATGCTAAAATTAACGAATGTAGATAAAATATATTTTCCCCATATAAAAGAATTTGTCAAAAAAATAAAAATGAAGAAGTGTAAAATGGTGCATGACTTGACCTATAACATAATTAATAATTTTCTGAAATATGATAGTGACATAGTACGAGACTAAAATCCTGTATATATCATCTCAATTGTACCACTGACTGATAGTTCCAATATTAATAATAGAATAGTCAAATGATATTAAATAATTATTACCAGTACAATTTTTTAAAATATTTTTTTAATACAATACTATGTAAAAATTGAAAAATGACATGCTAATGCAACTATTTTTCTCTAATAGTCTATGAATTATTAAATATATTTTATTTTTGTTTTATTTTCCCATTATACCAAATTTTTTTATATAAAATTATTAGTATCCATAAAATTTCAGGAGTGCATTGATTATAAAAACACAATCATACAAGTCTAAAACTAATAACTTGAGATAACAATTGTATACCCATGAAATTAATCTGTTCATTTCATTCTATAATTCCCTTTGACATCGTCTACATGTCTATTCTTTGGTCAAGATATTCCACACATTCATCAATGACAGTAAATACTCATTTGAAAATATTTAAATTTTATAAAATAAATGCAATAATAAAATAAAAAAAAAAAAAAAAAGGAACCGTGAAAATAACGACGCAAACAAGAAAATTTGGTAAGAATGGGCCCAAAACGCACCAAACGGAAACGGTCGTTTACGCGGCAACGCATAAAACAAACGAAATGGCGAAAAAGACCCTTCGCACGTGTTTCGATAACGTTGAAATTTTCAAGCGTGTCAGCGAGTCCATGATATTAAATTATTAATCACCGTATCCTCCCACTTTCCTTTTATCCATTTTCCAAGCAAACTTTTCAAACCCAAAATTTAATAACAAAAAAAAAAAAAAAAACAAGAAGAAGAAAACGCGCAACACAACACAACACAACACACAGTTTCAATTGCATTTCTCTCTCTTTCTCTCAATTTTCATTTTCCGGTGAGATTCTCTCGTTTTCTCCAGAAACCTCGAGATCTGCTCTGCCTTGTTCGATTAACCCTATTTTTCCGATTGTTTGTGTTCTTTTTTGCCTAAAGTTTCGATTTACTCTTTCGTTTTGTTTCGTTAGGGTTTTGATTTGAGATTCGTTGTTCCAATGAGCGATCACTTGGTGGTCTTCGTTGACCGTCTCGCGCGCCCTGTCCCTGTTGACCCTGTGGAGCAGCCGGCGCAGCTTCCTTCCGAGCCCTCTCCGCCTCCGGCCGCCGTGGATGCCGCCGCTGGGACCTCGGGAACCGCCACGCCGGAGGATGGCGACGTCGAGGGCGGCGATGAGGAGGAGCCGCTGATCCAGATGGCCGAGTGCCGCATCTGCCAGGAGGAGGACGGCGTTTCCAATTTGGAGACGCCCTGCGCCTGTAGCGGAAGTCTTAAGGTATCAATTTGTGTCTTTGATGATTTTTGGGTTTTTTATTTTTGAATTTGGAGTTTGGTTTTGCGGGATTAGAAAGTGAAATGGTCAAGTTTTGTTTTTATTTTTGTTAGTTATAATGATGATGATTTCTGCGTTTTGGTTGCATAAATTGTGTTTTATTTGAAATGATCCATCAATTTGAAAATTTTTGTTTTTTGGGGGGGGGGGGGGTTGTGGGGATTGTGTGTGTGTGTTATTTAACTTCTTATTGTTTGTTTTGTTGGTGGCTACTTACTAGTTACTGAATTGATATATATATTTTACTTGGGTAGAAGGTTTTAAATTTTGTGACTTCATGTGTACATACACTCTTCTGCTTTCTAGATGTAAACATGGTTTGAAATGTGTTTATGAGTTTTTTCATGGATATGTTTTTCGCATTCTTAATATGTTACTTAACTAGGTTCAAATTAGGTCCATTTTTTGAGAAATGACAGGTTAGTGTTCTCTTGAGAAACTGCTTCCTGATTCTCTGTTGAGCTGGTAAATGCATTTGGTGAGCTTTAGTTGGAGGAGTGTAAAAAGAAGATGGAGAGATTTTTTTGCTTGTGTCATGTTGATTTTTTCGTTTTTATCATCTCTATTTTGGTATTCTTAATTCTTGAACTGTTGGCATTTGGTTTTGTGCAGTATGCTCACAGGAAGTGTGTCCAGCACTGGTGTGATGAGAAAGGAGACATAACTTGTGAGATATGTCATCAGGTATGCATCCTGTACAATAGTTTTCATATTCCATTGGCCTTGTTTATTGTAAGGTTATGTTGGTGGGAAATTATGTGAATGCTTATTTTAAAAGTTTATAGCTTTGATGGGCTATAATGTGGCTCATCAGAATATTCGATGCCTGGTTATAGCTGGGGTGGACCTATATGGGGAGGCAATGGCTTCCTTTAAAGGTTGTATGCTTTTCCTTTGTTCTATGTTAAAAGTGCTGCATAAAGGATTATTGGTCTGGCTTTGGAGGTATAGTGACAGGTTGAAGGACTATTCTGCTTCTGCATTCATCATTATTTACTCTCAATGGAAAAGATGGTTATAATACAACTGGATTTTCCCTTTAACATTGGATATAGTATAAAAACAAAGTATAAGATAAACAGGTCAACTCCTGTACAAGATCTTGCCCCAAGCTAATAGCCAGAATTCGGAAGAAAATAGTTATACCCTCCAGTAACAGTTACTTTAACTCTCATTTTTACACCCTGCTGCCGGTATCACCCTCTGCATACATGTCCTCCTTGAACAACATTCTAGACCTCTCATGCCCACTGATTTTAGAACAATTGTTTGCTAGCTGTACCTCTAACTGGCATCTCTCCTTTATAAGATACCTTTCCATTTTCCCTTCTTGAAAAAGCCAGACACTGACTTGGCCTTCCTTTTGTTAACAATAGGGCTTCATCACTTAAAGTTGGGACCAAGTCATTGTCTATGTGATGCATGGATTTAAAATAATCTGTGTATTTGATTTTTCAATTCAAAACCACTTTGTATTCCTTTATTTGTGTGATAATGGCTAAACTGGGGAATTTATAAGAAAAGGTTGTCTTGATTCTTAAACACTTCCTTTACTTGTGAATTTGAGATTCCTACATGTTTTTGGATGGGGATTTTAGGATGGGATGCCTGCTGCTACCTTACCAAACATTGGCATCTTGTGTAGGCATTCGAGATATTTTGGAATTTTAAATACCTGTATAAGGATGCATTGTTCATGTGTATTATGTTAGTTTTGTGTTTATTTTAATGGGATTTTTTTTCTTCCCATATTTATGCATGTAACTCAGCCTTATCAACCTGGCTATACTGCTCCACCACCTCGTCCTAATCCTGAAGAAACTACTATTGATATAGGGTAAGCAGGAAGTTTTTATTTATTTATTTTATTTTTTATTTTTAAATGGTATTCAATAATGTTGTATATAATAATTAGTTTTCTCTTTGTAAGTTGTACAGAGGCTTTCATACATTTATTTATTTATTTATAGTCATTTGAACCTCATCTTAATTAGTTATGACCACTATTCTTGCAGAGGTGGCTGGACAATATCTGGCACCCCATTGGACTTGCGTGATCCCAGACTCTTGGCAATTGCAGAGGCAGAACGTCAATTCTTAGATGCTGAATATGATGAGTATGCTGCTTCCAATGCCAGTGGAGCTGCATTTTGCCGCTCAGCTGCTTTAATTGTAAGGCTTAACCTTGTGCTTCAATTTACCAAATATAATTGTGGCTGTGGCACTAGATAATAGAATTAGGCTTAGGTAATATTTGACCGAGCTTTTTATGGATCTTAAAAGCTACTTTAAAGTTAAAATTGTTTGATAATTTAAACTTAAAATTTAAGGTAAAGTTGTTTGATAATTTTATAGGGTAACTTTTGAATTAAGAACTATTTTGGAACTGTGTTCTTGTGTCGAGATTTGGAATCGATAATAGAGAAGTTCCTAAAACTAGTTTACTTAAAAGCTTTTATATCTTGTCTTCATTTTAAATTAGTTTTTTCAATTTTAAGAGCTTTTGTAGAATTGTGTTTGGCACAACTACTTTTGAAGGAAAAAAAGCCCAAAATAAGCTTGGATCAGACATTACCTTAGAAATATCAAGCTTTAGTTTCATTTAATGCTAAATTATATATTCAAAGTTATAACAAGCTTGCAGTAGCTACTGGAGATGATTTTAAGCCTAATTCATACTTTTTTGTGCAGTTGATGGCCCTTTTACTCTTGCGGCATGCACTTTCTGTCTCAGATGGTGATACTTCTGATGATGATCCATCCAATTTTTTCTCCGTAAGTGAATTGAGTTTTTTAGTTAAGTTGTTTCTATGTCCAATGTTGTATTGATTTCAAGTTTTCAAATGCAATGTTGAGCCAACCTAATTAGCTGACTATTTTCTTCAGCTTTTCTTGCTTCGAGCTGCTGGATTTTTATTACCTTGCTACATTATGGCTTGGGCAATCAGTATTCTGCAGCGTCGGCGACAAAGACAAGTCAGTTTTCATTATAGTTGTTCATATTAATAATTGTTTTGGTTTCGCTTAGTCTCATTTTCATAATAACAATGCTATATGGTCTCATTTTAGGCTGCATATCATGTTTGTGTTCACATCACTCTTGCTACGTGAATTTCTTACATTTTGTATTATTGTGAAATAGGAGGCTGCAGCACTAGCGGCAACCCAAGTTGCTTTTGTACTACAATCTGGGCAGCGTAGAGGATTACAGTTTGCAATAGCACCAGGACCACCCACTGTACACCAGGAGCAAGTGTAATTTGCATGCTTTTATTATGAATGAATCCTTCCCATGCTTTGTTGAAATGCCGTGAATTTTTACTTTGATTTTCAGAGCTGTAATGTATATACATACTAGTGGTGGTAAAACGATACTCGAATTCATTGGTATCCATTCAATTTATCTATCTATGAATGTAACCGAATCCATCCAGTAACTCTGTAGCAAGAGATTTATATGGAAAATAACGATTAATGGTTTAATCTCTCACTTAAAGGGCACTTCATCATAGGAAATGCGAGGAGCATGTTTATTTGATGCTTCCATCTAAATGAGGGCTAAAATGGAATTTGACTCAATTGATTTTGAGTAAACACAACGTGTAGATAGAGAAGCAAATAGGAAAAGAAAATCTTTCCTATTTTGTTAGAATGAAAAGGGCTTACTAGAATTTTATAAGAAGACTATTTGATTAAACATTTTTGGGTATATCTTTTCCTTAGAACTAGATGATATTCTGCAGAATTTGAAGCTCTATTTTTGTGGAGTTTTGTTAATAAATTGTTTTTCAAGAAAGTTTCACGGGATTGGGTTTAACATAACTTCTTTAAGCAAGATCATGTTCAAAATAATTAGATGAAACTCTTTAATCATTTTAATTTTTCTCTCTACAGAAATACTAAAGGTTTGTTCAGTATAATAAACGTTTTTTTTTCCATTAATAATTATAAAGAGACATTATCTTTTCTTTTATTTCTTATTTTGAAAGATGTTTAGTAGAAATGATATTTTAATTTTATATCCTTCATAGATTCACTTTTACTCTAGTAGTAAGTTTTTAGAGTTAGCTATAATCTTAATCTTTTATTATTTTAAAATATATTGTTTTTTTTAATTACTATTACCGTCTCTCCTATTATAGTGGTTGATTTTATTCTCACCGAATTATTGTTATTATTATTAGTTACATTTATTAATATTACTGTCATCACTATTGTAAGGGTTGTGAAAAAGAAAATATAAAGATCTTTTTTATTGATTTTGAAGTGGCTTTTTTTTTTCTCTCTCTCACTCATATATATATATATATATATATACATTTATAGATGAGAGATTGTAAAATAGAAATAAATTAAATTTAAATGAAAAACTTCATATAGTTTTGATCTTATATATATGTGGTTAACATTTTGTACCTATATGAAATAATAAAAAGGATGAATTCTCCTGTGCACAAGTGCTTCATGCGATTTATGCACCACAAATAATATAGTTAGATTAATATCATTCCAATAATTATGATAGACTCTGTTGCACCTTAACAACTGTTTTTCCCTTCCACCAACCTTCACCACCGTCAAAACCAATGCAACCTCCATGCTCTGTATTAGAGTTGCATATTCTCGTTCTCACCAAAACCCATTGTCCACCGTCGCCTTTTCTATAGCTTAGACAATCCCACCCAATGGCTCATTGCCCTCGCACTCTACTTTGTCATAGGGATTTCTTCAATAAGGGGTTGTTGCTAACAAGAAGAGAACAAACACAATGAAAAATAAAAAAAATGGAATTAATAAAGCAATGGGTCTATGATAGCACAATTGATAACGAAGATGAAATCAAATCTTAAACTCCAAAAATATATGTATTAAAAAAATTTATGATTATTTATTAATTTGAATTAATGAAATGAAATATCAAATAGTTTTTAAATTCTTAAAAAATTTGCAAATTTCATTTATGCATTAAGAACTTTAAATTTAACGGTTGGATTATTAAAATTTGATGTAAAATATGAGTTATTATTGAATGAAGTAAGTTTACTCTTGAAGTAAACAGATTCCTCGCGCGTGTATATATATATATATATATATATATATATATATATATATATGATGCAAAATTAACACATGACGAATGGATCCAGAACGGGCAGTTTCGAATCTGGAACGGGTTGTTCTAGCCACTTCTGATGTCTATAAATAGCAAACTCAGGCACTATTCTCAAGGTGGGAAAAATTCGTCGAGAACTCCATATAGCTCGAAATCTCTCCCTCTCTCTCTTTTTGTATTTCTTGAGATCTGTGAGGTATTTGTGTAGTGTGAAAGGTTTCACAAAGCACCTAAAAAATCCCACATTTGAAGAACATCAATAAAGCTTGCCACGAGGTATTATCCACCAATCGTTTTCTCCATCTTCCACCTCTTTTATTTTAAATATCGTTATAATAAAAGAAATAGCCATGTAGACATCCTAGGTTAATTTGTGTAATTTAAATTTCATGTATATAAATAATCATCAATAAAGGGGACTTAATATTTTAAATTACTATCTCTTATGCTAGCTTCATCATAGGGTACCGATTAAGGGCGTTGTAGGGGTGCTTAATACCTTTCCTACATGTAACCGACCCCCGAACCCAATTTTGGTTATCAAGGCCATTATTGGATTTTCAAAAACCTTTCTTTTTCTAATGTTTTGAGCAAAACATTGGTGGCAACTCCTACAAACCATTTTTATTCAAAACCATTAATTAGGAATTAGTCTGGTTTCCGGGCATTCCTTAATTGATGAGATTTTTAAAAGGTAGTCCAAACCATTAGTAGTGAGATCGTAATCGTAAATTTTCAGGTTGTGACAAAACACACACACACACATATATATATATATATATATATGACAGTTTTAGAATGATATTTTAAATTAAAATAGATATTGAGTTTAACTTAAAATTTCAATTGTCGCGTGTTAAGGAAATAATTTTTTTTTCAATATGAATGATCGTTTAACTCAATGATGGAGAAGTGGTTCTATAACATTTTAGCTCTTTGAAAAGTGAAAATTCAAACATGTTCTAGGTGGCAGTGAAAGGGAGGTGATACTATTATTAATATTTTTTTTTCATCTTATTATCACAATCATTATAATCATTATCATCACTTTTATCATCGTTATAATTATTGTTAATATTTTTGTTATCATTAGTATCAAAATCATTATTGTTGTAATGAATTATACTTCAAAATTATAATGAAAAGTATAAATTGTAATACAAATTTATTTTTATTATTGATAATTTCTTTTTAAAAAATTTATTGAAATTGAATCTAGAGTTAACATTAAAATATGATAAATTAATAGGGACAAGTGGTTAAAATATATTGATAAGGTTAAAGTGAGGATAGTTTCATATGCTTAATGGAATTCTTTTAACTAGTTATGACAATAGTGTGTAAAATACACTTTCAAAAGAAAGAATGAAGTCATTATAGGTATAGAGAAATGCTAGCGACAATCTCTTTAATACTCTTTTATTTACTATTTTTATTATTAATTATAAATTATAAATTTTAGTAAATATTATCACTAAATCAGAAGAAAAAAAAACTTATTGCCCACCATAAAATTTGTAATTTTTAATAAATTTTAACGACTAATAAAAAATGTTAGAGAGAGTAACATTCCTCTTAAATATACCTAATTGATAATGAACAAAGTGAGAGTCCAACTCTTTCGATTCGATATTCAGATTTATAGGTCAACAAAAAAATAAAAAAGCTTCTATCATAAGTTAACAACAAGCTAACATGTTAAAAGTCTCGTATTAGTTTATCTAAAAGTTAAACTTAATTTACGTATATGAAAGAAAATTATGGGTAGGGTTTTTGTATATGCCATCTACAGCCACCAAATAATGGTTCAGATTTTTTAATGAGTCGTTGTAGCCAAATTGAGAAAGAACTGACAGATAGGGACCTGAGTGGGGGCAACAGGGAAATTGGCGTCTGATTAGATTTTTTTCTTTTTTTTTCCTCTTTTGAACAAAGCAGATAAGCATATATTCTAACACACCCCAGTTATGATTATAACTCAAGATGGCCACCAAATTTTAAATCAAAGGCATAGCAAAGAAGCATCTCACTTTAACTTATGTTTAGGTGACATTCTCTTTGTAGCTCAACTTTTTTTACTTTTTTTTTCTTCTAAAGAATTTATAGCAGCCAACCAGTCTTATCATCACCAACTTTGGTCCTGCCTATCAAACGTGAATCAAATATGTTCCAAACTTGCAATTCATTCTTCATATTAAAAATTGCCACATAATTCTTACTAATATTTTTTGTTTCCTTTGTTTTCGTGTTAGTTTATGATCAAGAAGAATTGATTACTAAATTTGGCTGGATCATAGTTCATGCATGGTAATGTGTCAAGCAAATGACATAAAGCAAAATAACTAAGCAACAAACTATTCAAAGATGGGGGATGCTATCTGTAACAATTACAACTCGTTTTTTGCTTTTAGCTTCTTTAAGTTGCTTTGCTATTCTTCTTTTTTGCGTCTTTCGTGGTTCTGTTGTGGCCTTGTTCAGTCAGTGCTCATTGTACCGTGACCGTCATGCTGAGCCTTTAAGGGGCACACTTTGGTTCAAACACAAATTTACAAAGAGCCTACAACTTTAAGACCAGTCTTCACTCTTCAGAATCTAGGAAAGCCAGATTGTGTAGCATTTTTCATCTTTGTATTATGTTGCTTGCTGTAAAAAATTTAACAGTAAGAACTGGTTGCCAGCACAATAGTGCCACAACACATTCTTTAACGGAAAACAGGCTTACCTAACAAGTTACCCTTTGCATTGTACCTTGTACTTACCGTACCATATATCCTTTGTTTTAATAGGGCCCCACTTATATATATTAATTTCCGATTTTGGTAAAAGCATTTGAACAATAACATTTGGGAATATGATATTATATTGATATCCATATAATATGTACATTGAAGTACATGTAAAGCATTTTGGCAGTGGCACTTGGCCATCTCTAGGGATCAACGAAGGTGGTGTTGATCTTAATGCAAGATCAAAACAAGACTTTTTTGGGACACAAGAGTGTAATTATTTTCATAATCTTTCTATTGAAATAGTGTACCCGCCAAAGGAAAAGTAAGCCATATGGACCCCTTATAAACCATGTAAGGATAGCAAAAGAAAAGAAAATAAAAAAAATATAAAATATCTGTTATTTGGAGAAAAGAAGTGTTTCTCATCATTTGATGGTAATGTATCACGGAAAGATAAACCATATCTAATACAAACCATTCGACCCAAAATTAGAATGTCACAACATATTAGGACTTACTACTTAGGAATATCAGAGTAATAAATAGCCAGAAGAGAATTAAAAGCATATTCTTCTAAGGTGATGTGATTTGTAACGAGGTGACACTCTCAAAAGGCAGTTTCAAACCATAGGAAGAAAAATGAAAAATAGAAAGCAACAAGTCATTTTAACTCCCACTTTAATTCCAAGAAAAGAAAAGAAAATCTAAAAAAGAGAACATAAATGTCCATGCGCTGGTTTTTTTCACTTGGACCATGACCAGGGTCACATTGCATATTAAGAATAAACCAAGGAATTTATGCTTTCGACAGTTCCTAGTTGCATGTGATATTTTATGTTAAATAAAGTAAAATAAGAGAGGAGAGAGAGGGCAATTTTGTTTTTGAAGGGACAAATAGTGTTTGGCAACCCATCTAATCTAAAAGTAGAACAAAGCATAAAGGTAACATTAAGCCCAAGAAATCCAGTGCTGTTATTTTTGTTACCTTGGGAAGTGAGCTTGGAATTCTAAAGTGACTTGGAGATCTTAGAGAAGTTAGAAAAGTGCATAAAGCAAGAGTTTGTTTCTTTTGGGGACTGTTCTATTCTATTCCCCATCTATTCTTTATAGAACCTGCTTCCACTGTTGCAATCTCCTGCTTCTGCCTGGCCCATCTTCCAGTCCTGGTCATGCTAATTAAAAGCAACTAATGTCTAACCTGCCACTTTCTTAATAACAAAGGAATGCTAATTTACCATATTAACCCCTTAGACCAAAGTTTTATATGGAGAAAACCTGCACCTTTTGCAAATGTATAATGTAACTTAATAAAGACATTAACACATTATAAGTTAGTTTTAGTCATTATAATAAAACACTATCATCCAATCATTGTAGTGTTCCACTTGTATTGATACAAATTTAGAAAATAGTTGAAACATGTAGGCTAAAAGTATACACAAGAATTCAATAGATACACATGGGATACCAGAGTGATAACTAATTTGAATTATCCTAGTGAGCCAAAACCAAGCATAACCACCAGAGAATGTAGGACCTATTTATCCAGATACATACAAAGGTATAGCAGTATGATGTGGCAAGTTGGACAGAAACGGTGTTTGGCTTCTTTTGGTGAATAAAGCAGGCATATGATAGACATGTAGAGAAAGAAATGGAAAGAAATATACTTGGCCTCTCAAGGACATTGTCCCAACCCCCTTTATTCATCCTTGTCAGATTCTTAAATAACAGCCTTAATTTGCTAAGATTTCAGGCTTGTGATTCGAGATGAATCTAAAATTCCTTTAGGCCCTCCCTGCTTTAAGCTTTAAAGCACCCTCCAAATCCAGTAGGACATATATAACAAGGTTATATCTACAGGAATGGACCATAAGAACACAGATATTACAAGGAGATAGCTACTTATTCTCCTGTCACTCTAAACAGAAAGAGCACACCTCTATTCTTCTTGTTTCAGGGTGAAGAGAATATGGTGTTTCATCCTCCTTCTAGAACAATCATTCTTCTTCTCTTTGTTGGGTTCTTTATATCAATTCAACTAGAGAATGTGTTAGGCCTGAGAAGTTCAGAAATTGCATTAAGACACAGTGAAGAAGACCAAAGGATATTGCTGCAGAATCAACATACTCTGAAGGCTACAGAGAAGGAATTATTGAACACAAAGAAGAATTCAGGAAGTGCCAACAATAGGCTTGATCATGCAAAGAAGAAATCTGCAAATTTCAACAACGAGTTTGATCCAAATCAGTCAAACAAAAGAAGAGTGCCAAGAGGATCAGATCCTATTCACAACAGGACTTAACACATTCATCTTGTTCCTTTGACTAGCAAAGCAAGCAACACTAAGCTGACATCTAGAGAGTGAGCAACAAAACTTGGAAGCTTGAAAATGCAGAACAGGTTAGAAATATAGATGAACTGTACCTGCATTCTCAAAAGATCTTCACAACAGTTGTTTGGTTTTTCCCTTCTTTTCCATGTATTTTGTACAGTCAAGCTGCAGCATAATTTTTATAGTTAGCAATTCAGTGAACCAGCATTGTCTAAAAAGACAGTATAGATGATGATCCCAGCTCCTCCAACAGAAAATGTTTTCTTTTAGTTTCGTTCAGTGAAAGAAAATACCTATATGCACTAGCATTACAGTTTCAGTAAGAATATAGTAAAATTCTTTTGTAATGTCATCTTCTTTCAGAAGTATTTTAAATCTAATGATATTTCACGTGTCAGTTTTTGGACCCTGCAGACAAGTCTAATCCCTTTACCAACAAAAGTAAAGTTGAAGAGCATTATTGATTCATAGAATTCTGGACACCTGTATTTATCCTCATCATGCAGAGAAGGCACTAGATAGGAATTTGTCTTAACAGTCTTCTCTTTTTATTTTGCCTGTTTCTTGTGATTGCGGGGTGCATGTGTTTGGTGAGCAAGAAAAAATGTTTGCGCAGGAAAAAACCAAAAAGAACACTGGTAATATAACAAATTAAATAAGATAATTCATACATATAACACGAAGATGCTAGACTTATCAGTACGCAGTCGCGAGATGACAAGTAGCTTGCTTGCCTAAAGCAAGGCGTTGTAATTGTTAACACATCAAGACATCATTTTTTATTTTCCCAAAAGTATAATGAATAGTTTCATTTTCATACTACTTCATTTGTTTTTTAAAATCAATGGAATACTAAAATATCATTCAACACATAATCATCCCATCGAAGTCAATGCAGGTTCTAGTAGAGCATACCAGGTGCAAACTTAAGAAAGTGTTGCTTCAGCATTGAATATACGTGGGGAAGAGTGAGAACGGAAAAATGAAAGTTAATATCCTTTTCATAATTGACAAAAACTAAGATTCTTGACGTTCCTTGGATGTGACAGACTGCAGTGGTTATTGCGGATATGAACAGTATCAGTACAAAAACAATAGCTATGAATCTTTTTTTTTTCTTGGTAAAATATGGTTAAATAAATCAGAATACACCAGTCAAAAGCATAACATTGGGATTGAAGCATGGTCAGCCATATCAGATAAGGGTTAGGAAGTATGATTGAACTAAAAAGTTAGATATCAGTACTGTTTTTCACCTATTCATGCTAAAGTAGAATCTACTTATTCTGTTATTCATTTTATTTCTTCCAAATATTTCTGTTTCCTTTGCCTCAATTCCACATGGGGTTCGACTGAAGAACTGTCCATTACTTCCTTTATCATCCAAAGCAACAAAATCCATTTAATACCTATATATGCTTGTACATGAATTTCTCTGGTTGGACCAATGCATCATGATATTCTCTTCCTCCTTCCAGTTGGTCACGAGTCCACTGTAACTGTCTCAATGCATTTAAAAGGTTGATAGATAGGACAGTAATCTTATTGAAATAATTGTTGGAACTACAACCACATAGGTGGCAACATCCAAGTTTGACAAGAAAAATATTCAAAGTAAACTTAGATGCCCTGTACAGCTGTTTCTGTTTGTGACGGTAAAATTGTAAAATGAGCCTTGTTCTGGCTAGAGACACTAGAACTTTCCAATGTGTCACTTGTATGTCTAATGCCATTCAATCATATATACACAGTTTGCCAAAGATGTCAAACAAGCGCTATTATGGGAAGAGATTCTAAGAAGTGGGAAAAAAAAAAACTTGAAATTCTCAAGTTTTAAGATCTCACTCTTAAATCTTTTAAACCTCCACCTTATAATAAAAATATATTATATTCATTTTTTATATTTGAATGGCTAGGATCTCTTCCAGTGAAAATATCACTGGATAGGATCCATTCCGGTGCTATTATTCACAAGTAACAACATACATTTCTACACAATTGCATGCACTACTCCATAAGCAATTGATCTATAAAATATCTACTAGTCCATAGTCGAATTCACAATGACAAACAGAAAATTACTCTTCAAAAAGTGAAACAAAGATACAGGATATACTCTAAACTGCAGTTAACATACCACCATCAAGCCATGACTGTTACCATTTATAAAATTCACTCTCCATCACCAAACCACCACTTCTTAAAATCTCTAAGTGCAGTGAATTTGAGAGTATTCAATTTCTATTTTGCCTATATTTATTTCCTTTTTCTCTTGATCAAATCCTCACATTTGCAGCATAAGTAAGAACCACAGGAATCGATTTTCCTTAAAAAAAAAAAAAAGAAACGAAATTACTAAAGCAGCGTAAACATCATAGATTTTCATGAAATCGAAACACAATAAAAACAAAACAATCATAAAATAAATATTTTTAAAAAAACCTAGTAGTTAACACCTTGATGTAGATAGCTTCTTCAAAGTTCAACTTCCACACATTCCATCATCAACAGCTAAAAAAGTTCGTAGCTTTTGGCATCGTTGAGGTGCTGCTGGCCAAAGAACCTGGAACTAGAACCTGGAACAGGAAGCTCACAACGTCGTCGTTTCACGGTCTGTGAAATTCATGGGCCACAATCGGTCCATCAAACATTTAAACCCATTTAATGGCTTGGGCTAACTTTGGGCTGGCATTGTTGGTATTGGATCACAGATCACTACACACCTTGTAAAAGATTAATGCGTGTGAAAATTTTTTAATTGCGTATCAAATAAAAATTATGATAATTACAGTTTTTAAGATAGTTAAAGTTACTTCTAAAAAAATAGTTATAATTAAAAATAAAAAATTTATTATACATGTTCATATGTCATTAAATGAAAATAATAAATGAAACGTTAAACTATCCGTGCATATACATTAACTCTCCCTCAAATGAAAAAAAGAAAAAATTAAAAAAAGAGAGCATTTTTAACCTCTTTTAATTAAGTGATTTGAAACTTAATTCAGCTTTATAAAATTAGTTTATACAATAAGAATTATTTATATTTATATACATTATTTTTTGCCTTTATCATTAGATGATGAAAGATTTTCAACACCTTTATTCAATCTTAGGTAGGGAATAAAAGGACTTCATTCACTTTGTAAAATTAGGGAATGAAAATGACATAATGATATATATTGAAGAGTTCCCTCGAAATTTTTTTGGTTTAAACTTACTTATTTACAGAATTATGCAAGTAAAGTTTCGTGTGTTTAAACAAAGACTTAACGTTAGACCTAATGAAATGAATTTTTATGTGTCCAAACACAGCTTTAACGTTAGCTTGTTTTTGAACTTCGAATCATTTGCTCAACTTTAAAAACAAAACAAAAAAAAAAAGAAGGGGAAATTCAACTTAAAATATGCAAAAAGAAAATAATAAACATTAAAATGTACACAGTTTTGTCCGACAAATATAGAATGAAAGGTTCATCAATTACCTCTTTGTTGGTCTAATCAATTTCAAAGTACAAATTTATATAACGTGTTAAATGTGTATACCCGTATTAAGTGTGTGAAGCGGTTAGAGAAAAAAGAAGATAGAAGAACAAACACGCCTTATAATTATTACATTTTCAAAGACCCCATAACTTTTTTTCTTCTTCAGAAATTAAGGTATATTTTCGTACATATGTTAGGAACAAATTTAAGTCTTTATTCCATTTCTTAAGCTATAAATAAGGAATTGGTTCATAAATTCTATCTAACTACTAGTTCATGTGGAAAAAATTAATTAACTTAATTTTGTTGACACTTTGAATGTGAAAAATTAACTTAATCAACTTTTATATATTAAACACGAATTTAGAAATTATTTTTTAATAGTGTTTTGATGAATTTTTTTTAATTTTTTTATTTAATTCAATTTTTTTATTTATGATATTTGTTTATAAATTAAATTTTAATATTTTAAGATAAGTTATGAATAATTAAAAATCATATATTTATTTATCTTAAATCTTAAATTTATATTAATTTTAAATATAATTAATATATTTAAATATAATATTTATTTATATATAATTTATTATAAATTCTAATTATATATAATATATTTAGTATGTGAAATATACCTAGTATAGTAGTAATAAACACTAGCATGCTTCACGTACGCAAGTTCGATCGTACAAAAATCATGTACTTTCCTTTATAGGTCCAAGACTAATATTAATATCTTAAAACACAAAGATGTATTTAAATAAAACTAATACTAATTATAGTATATGTTTTTATACATAGAGACCGAGGAATTGACCTTTAATCACATCTTGAAAAAAAATAAAACTATCTAGTAACGATATATATATGTTATAGCATGTTGATTGTACTTGGTCTCTTTTAGCATATGTATTCAAAACAAAATGTAATAATAGCAAAAGAATCATAGCTTGTTTCTTCGGTACAAAGTTTGTGCAGGAGAAACATGAATGTTCCTCATGGTGTTGCAGAGGTTTCACCTTTGAATTTTCCCATTTTTGGGGTTCATACTTGATAGAGAAGAATATTAGTTGCAGCAGTTAAAGCTGTGTTTTCAGAAAATTCATTTGATTTGGTCAAATAATCCATGCTACGATGCTTTGTGTCACTCACTACGCGCATGCTAAGTTTGATGATGACAAAGATGTCAGAGGGATGCTTCATTCAATTGAGCATGGTTTTGACTCTTTCAGCCAACCCAAACACACAATAAAAAGCCAAATTTCGTGCCTTCGAGTGCTCTCTCTCTAGTCTCTATACCTCACACCAATGTTAATCACTACTCATTTGATTCCTGATTTTAAAGGTTCTCATTTATTTGTATACTTATCTTCTATAATCCCAACAAATTAGCCACGCCTTAATCTTAACATGTCTTGTCAATGCTAAGAATGAATATACATAGCTAAACCATCAAAATAATTAAACACATTTCTTTTATATGTTTTCATGGAGAGAGAAAAGAAGATACTTTATGTTTTAATTATATGTTTTTTTTAATATATTCATGTTAATTAGAATAATGTATAGTTACTAATAATGATTTCATGGATAAAACCTTTTTATAAAAGTATTTTTTTACCATTTATTAATTATTATCATGTGATTTATATAATTTTTATGATGGGTTAAAATTATCAAAAATAATGTGTATATCAAAATAAGAAACCAGTTTTATAGATGAACTCAAAATTATAGATTAAGTTAGAACAATTTTATGTTAAGTGATTCACATGTTAATACAATTTTTTGTGCCTTGGATTCTAGTGTAGCACGCATGATTTGATTGAGGATTAGTTCGGGTGAGTGAGAGAGAAGATTATAATTAGCATTTAGCATATATGACTATGATCACACATTGTGCTTGATTTGAAAGAGTAGTGTATAGCTAGGCTGAGTGTGAATGTTTATGTGTGTGTGAAGATTAATTAGCACATGACTGTGATCGATCAAATCGTGCAATTGGATCCGATTTAAATCAGAGTCATAAGATTATTTGCATGAATTCCGAGGGTAAGATAATTAATGATTTGAATATGGTCTCGCAAATTATCAACGACCTAGCTAGCTAATTGCACATTTCTTTCAGTCAAAGTTTGATTTGAAATGATGAACGTTGTTATTCGATCACTAATCCCCGTCACGTAAAGGAAACTCGCACTGTTGGATTTGAACTTCCCTTCTTAATAATCACCACAAATTTAGAACCCCATTAAAGAAAAGAAGACTTTACTTTTGATTTTTCTCACTAAATTGGTTTGTGATAGAGAACTTTTAGGTCGCGTTACTATCATTAGAGAAACAAAATTATTATTAATATAATTTAATCTAAGATGTGCTCCATAAAAAAAATTAAGTTGAAAATTTAACTTTTAAACTAGTTATAAAGTTAAGTTATTAAAAAAACTTAAAACCAAGTTATGAAGTTAAGTTATTAAACTAGTATCGTAACATGTCAACTGTCTATGATAAATATTTATTTTTATATAATTAAAATTTATGGTAATTTTTAATATATAAAACATAAGTTTAATTATATTTTTAATCTTTTTATTATTGCAATTATGTGATTTTGGTTCCCTAAATTTTAATCAAGTAAAATTTTAGTTTCTCAAGGATCATAATTATATGATTTTAGTTCATTAAGTATCACATTTACACAAATTTTTTTAATCTATTTAAGTTATAATTTTCATTCATATTAAATCATATATATTTATTGTTACTAAAATTATTAATATACGTAACTTGAATATGTAACTCAAAATTCAAAATAGACTATATGAGTAGAATTTCAAGGAGTTATTTTAAAAATTTGTAATTTTTAGAATATCATTTAGATTTATAAAATTTATCAATTTCTTTTAATATATTTTAGATATTTGTTTCCTTTTTTTTTTAATTAGGATGATTATAGTATTCAAATTTTGTATTACAGTTTTACTTTATATATAGAACCAAGAAATAAAATTATAATGTGTGTTTCATTCAAGATCCTTTGATGTGTGAGGAGGAGTTTCCCTGTCAGTAGCATCAAAGTTATAATAGGGACACACAAAAGTTTGAGATTTTGTTATTTGATGATAGAACAAGTTTTATGATTTGATAGTGTATTTTGGTTCAACAAGATCTTGATCAAGTTTTGAAAGATAAAAAGTCAAATATTATCAATGAAAAAGAATGGATTCACATTTAAAAGAAGTTTGTGAGTATAATTCGATTAGCTCTTACTTCGAGATCAAACATAACATGTTAAAGGAGTCCATATTAAAAGTCTTGTTAGAAAAACTTGAGAGCTTCTATGCGTCTAAGTTGTTGATCAATCGCGTATGTTTGAAAATGAAGTTGTATAAATTCAAAATGGAGGTAGGCAAAAATTTTCATGTTCATATTAATCATTTCAACTAACTAGTATGTCAATTGTTAAATGTAAATGAAAAAATACCATATGAGGAGAACACAATATTGTTGTTGACTACATTACCAAAGTCTTATAAATCTTTAATTCAAACGCTGCTTAAAGGAGGAGATCGTTGAAGTTGGATAAATTGAAAGACACCGTAAGAGAAAATGAGAGAATAATAAAAACTAATCATCCACAATAGAGATTTTGGTAGAGGCCTAACGTATAATGTTACAAGTATGAACAATTAGGATATGTGGAGAAAGTATAGCCATGTCACAAGCAATAAGAAGAAGTTAACATTGTTGAAAATCAACAAAAAAAAAAGGTAAAAGAACAACTATTTTAATGTCATGTTTTACAACTAACATACTCACAAAAGCTTAACTTATTTACAATCGTAGTACAAAACATATGACTTATGACCGAGAGTTTTTTCTAAAAGAAAACTATTGTAAAATAATAATGTGAATAAAAAAAACTTTATAGTATTGCTTTCAATCAATATTAAATTACTAAAAAAAATTGTTATCTTAGAGTTTTTTTCGATCGAGAGCCAAATAACAATTTTTAATATATTAAATTTCATTTTAAAAGTTAATGTCTTTCAACAAATACATTTTCATATATATACAAACTAAAACATTGATCCTTAACCACATGTTTAGTGAACATGGTTATCTGTCCAACATAAATTATTAAATTTTAATTTGATAAATTATTGACGCAGCCTCATCAATAGATAATTGGAGACGAGTACACAATGAGAGACAGGAAGTTTTTGATTGGAAAATTTCCCATTTTGTTCTCAAAGTGTTTATTGTTTAGTCGTGCATAAGATACTAACATAAGAGTATTTGTTTCGATTATTTTAAGTAAAACATGTTAATCCCATTCTATATTACTTACATCCGGTCAATCCATTGAATTAAGTGAAACATTATATATCAATCTAAATTCTATGAAGTCACTATTTTAACAAACTAGTTGACAAAAGTAACTCACATCGACCACTACTTTATCCATGCAGTTAACAAAATTCAAATGTTAAATACTTGAATATAAGATTGGTATTTTAAGGGTGTGTTAAAATAATGTTTGATTACCAGAAAAAACATATTTAGTACAAACATAAATTAATTTTAATATAATGTATGAATTATGTTTATGAAAAAAAATACTTGAATATAAAAATATAATAATCAAATCCAATCCATTGCTCCACAATTTAACATATAAACCCCTCAGCAATAGAAGTAAATGCTTTGGGGTGAAGATACAGCATGAAGAACGAAATGAACTTTTGAGGAAACAAAGAAAGCATTGCATTTGGTATTTGCAGAGGGATGAGCTGGCCCTTCAGAGCCTCAAATGTTGGTTGGTACTAAGCAACAACTAAAACACTTCCCAAAAACTGCCACGTACCCTTTCAAAAGACTCAGACCAAGCTTTGTCCCTTCAACACTGATCAAACAAATTTATTACCCCCAACTAACTCATGTGATGTTAAGAAGAAAATTAAAGAAAAAAATGAGATGAAACCCAACACGAAGTTTCAATTTTAATTACCATAAGATTTTTCCATCATGTCTAAACTTGACTTCGTGTTTGCCTTCTTATCTAAAATCATTGTTAAAGATTTTTGGACCTTTTTGGATTCCACAATCCCATTTAAACCTCAGATTTTGTCATCACAAATCATCACCATCATGTTCCACCTCCATCATCACCACCCCCTTCCAAAGTCTTAACTTTTAGATTCGTTTTCATTCATTTTTTGTTTTTTTTTTTTGTTTTGCCCCCACCCTTAAAAACTCTTAAAACATGTCAAAACTCTAACCCCTCTCCTTCTTTTTTTTTTTTTTTCTTCTTTCTATTATATCAACCACTCTTACACAAACTCGCATGATGGACCTAACCAACACCCACAACAACACAAACTCCCAAACCCAACCCAACGGTTCCCTCAAACACCACCACCCCACCGCCGTGTCACGGCCACCTTCCACGGTGGTTTCCTCCTACAAAGAGTGTCTCAAAAACCATGCAGCCTCCATCGGCGGCCACGCGCTCGACGGATGCGGCGAATTCATGCCCTCCTCTTCCTCCAACCCCACAGAGCCACGGTCGCTCACGTGCGCCGCGTGTGGCTGCCACCGTAACTTCCACCGCCGCGACACACAGGATCATAACCCCAACCCCAACCCCAACCCCAATTTCATAAGCTTCTACCACTCACCCCCGCCGCCACCCCACCGTGGGCCGGGCCCCTCCACGAGCCCAAGCCCAAGCCCGATGTCGAGCCCAAGCCCACCGCCAATCTCCCACCATTTCCCTCCTTCCTCCCACCATCTCCGAGGCCCCATCACGGGCTTTAACTTCAACTCTTGGAACCCGAGCGGGAAGAAGAGGTACAGGACCAAGTTCAGCCAAGAGCAGAAGGAGAAGATGCAAAGCTTCTCCGAGAAATTGGGGTGGAGAATGCAGAAAGTGGATGAAGGAATGCTGCAAAATTTCTGCCACGAGATTGGCGTGTCAAGAGGGGTCTTCAAGGTTTGGATGCACAACAATAAGAACTCTTCAAGGAAGAGATCGTTGGAGCCTCTTGATAACAAGATCAACGCAAGTGCTACTGATAATAATAATAATAATCCTTACAACACAAATGCCTCCAACCATCACATTAATTAAGGTAGTTTTGTTTTTGTTTATTTTCATGTTCATCATCATCGTTCATTTTTTTTTTGTTTTTTGAGGAAGATGTAATTGTCTTAATCTTGATCCCTGGAGAAACTTAGAATTGGGAAAGGAGTAGGTAGTTTTTGTTTTGTTTATTCATGATATCATATCTCAGTAATTTTTGTTTATTGGTTATTATTTTAGCTTTTTGGTAGCTATTGAAATGTCGTACCAAAGTATATTTTTGTTTATAATAACCTCTGAAGTTGGAGCCATTAATTCCATAAATGTTTCACCCTCTTCTGCTGATGGCTCTTATTGCTGTCACGTTTATCTCTTGATAAGAGCAGGTGAAGTTTAAGTAGTTTTGTTGTATTTAAGGAACTGTTGTTAAAAGCATGCACCTTCCAAATGCCCATGCTTGCTTGTCCAAGACACTAGTTAGGTCAATCTTGGAATGCAATATGTTATGCCATATGCGGTTTTGTCCAAATTCATTTATGGGCATTCCTATCAGGGAAGTATATCCTGTTGGGGATAATGCACTTGATGGGTTTTGAACATAACATTGCACGATACATGCAAATTAAACCTCTAAAATTTAATATTAATTTATAATACTTGGATTTCTGATGGAGAAGTGGCCCTAGGCTTGTTTTCTTAGAGTGATAAAAAAAATTCTGTTAATTACAATGGAATGATGGGATGGTCTTTAGTTGAATATTTTATTAGCAATTTTGGGTAGTGAAAAGGAACAAGGAAGATCTATTTTGGAACTAGAAGTAGCATTGAGAATGACAGTTATCTATTCTCGTGTTTATCAACAAGTTAACATTATTTAATTGGCACATAACCCTGTTGTGGGTCTGTGGTTAATGCTTGGGAGTCATAAATGAAATTGGTAATGTTTTGTGGGTTTGGTTTTAGTGGAGGCGGTGCCTTGGACTAAACTGTCACATTTCCATATCGGGCTTGATTCAATGAAGCGGCAACTTTTGTTTGTATTTTAATAATAATGATAACTCTCGTGTAAGATACAGTCAGTGATTCTGATGTCATTAATTAATAATTTATGTAATTGTAAGTAGTGAGTTTGATTTGATCCCATTGCGAAATGTTGTGACATGTGTCTCTTTGCATGTCACGCGTGATTTCAGGTTACTTTTATTTCAAGTTTTTGTATTAACTTTCTTGGGCTGAAACTTTATTAACATTTTAGGATTGTCGTGTAAATGGTTGAGTTTTCAATAAAAGCTCTGTAACATACTTTTAGAAAATCATGCCAAAAATAGTCAACAATATTTTGTATCTGCGTAGTATTTTAATATATATATATATATATATATATGAAGAGAATGTAACTCTAGTAGAAAAAAAGTTTATATAAAAATAACTTTTAAATTAAAATTAATAAATAATTATGATTAAAATTTTATTATCTATGATGCATACGAGTATCAAATACAATACTTATAATTCATATTTGATATAGCAATAGATCAATTCTGATAAATATAAGATATAATATGTCTAGGATACTTTTTTTTTTCCCTAAAGGGATGGTAAATTTACGATACATATTTAAAATTTTAAATTAATAATTAAGTGTTAAATATTAGTAAATATAAAAATAGAAATGGTAAATAAATATCATTCAAATTAAAAATCAAAATTAACTACATCTTTTTTGCTTTTTAATCTTTACTATTACTAAAAATAAAATAAAAAAGATAAATAATTTTTTATTGCCTGAATATAAGAATAATATTATTGTATTCCTTCCATGACCATCATGCGTAAATAAGTCAATTTTTATTTCTAATCCATGAGATAATTGTTAGAGCAATGCACACATATGAAAACTGTATGTTTATTTTCTGAATTATGCACTTGAATTTATAGTATATCAAACACACATTTAAATTAACTACCATCTAACAAAATTGAATTAATATCACAATACACCCTCTTTAATTCAATGGATCTAAGGACAATACATTCAACATGTTTCTCAAATCTTTGAATCTCTCAATCGTCATGGGTTTTGTCATGATATTTGCTATTTGCAATCTGATGTGCAGTACAATAGCTCAAGGCTCCCTTTGTTCACTTGATCACGCTGAAAATGGTATTTAGTCTCAATATGCTTGCTCCTTCCATGTGCACCTGGATTATTCGCTAAGTTGATGGCTGACTTATTATCAACCAAGAGTTGTATTAGGTCCTGCAGTTCCACTTGTAGTTCCTTGAGTAGTGATCTCAACCAAAGTGCTTGACAGGTTGCATGTGATGCAGCAATATACTCTGCCTGCTCACAGCATGACAAAGCCACCACTGTTTGCTTCTTGGAGCACCAGGAAATAGGTGCTCCATGGAGCTTAACGCTCTTTCTGTCCACTTTGTTGCCACACCAATCTGAATTAGAAAACCTGATTAAGCCTTCAGATAGCTTGCTAGGAAACAACACACCATACCAAGGACTCTCTTTCAAGTATCTCCATATTCTCTTTGCTGCCACTAGATGAGATTGCCTAGGATCCTCCATAAATCTACTTATGAGGCCGACTGCATATGAAATGTTTGGTCTGCTGTTGCAAATGTACCTTAGTGAGCTAACAATCTGTTTGTATAAAGTGTTGTCCACTGGTTTCTTCGTTTCACCTTTCAATAGTTTGATGTTTGCTTCAACTGGAGTTGATGCCTCATTGCACTGTGACATATTAAACCTCTTCAACACTTTAGATATGTACTTCTTTTGATGCAGAATAATTCCTTGATCAATTCTTGTAAGCTCCATACCTAGAAAGTAGGTGAGAACTCCTAAGTCTGTCATCTCAAACTCAGTCTTCATCTTCAGCTTGAAGGACTCAATGTTCTCTTGGTTGCTGCCTGTAATCAATAGATCATCCACATATAGACACACTATAAGTACATCAGCTTCAAATTTGACATTTACATATATGCCATGTTCCACAGAACATTTTAGAAAGCCCAGTTGCACAAGGAAGGAATCAATTCTTCTATTCCAGGCTCTAGGGGCTGGTTTTTACCCATAGAGAGCCTTTCTGAGCTTGTATACTCTTCCTTCTTCCTCTTCTGCTTCGAATCCAGGAGGTTGAGACACATAACCTCTTCTTCCAATGGACCATTCAAAAAGGCAGACTTCACATCTAATTGAAATAGCTACCAGCCTCTAAAGTTGGCCATAGACACCACCAATCTAATTGTCTCAAGTCTGGCCACAAGTGCAAATACTTCAGAGTAGTCCAAGCCAGGTTTTTGTAGAAAACCTTTAGCCACCAGTCTTGCTTTGTACTTGGCGATTGATCCATCAGGTTTGTGCTTCACTTTAAACACCCATTTAAGAGGTATGGGTCGTTTTTTTGATGGCAACTCCACCAATTCCTAGGTCTGGTTTCTCTCAATGGCTCTTAGCTCTTCTTTCATAGCCTCTTTCCACTCATTTCTCTTGGTTGCTTCTTCGAAGGTGATAGGCTCAAAATCAGCTAGAAAGGCCATATAAACCAAATCTCCATCAACTGTAATTAAATCATCAGAAAATACCTCACAATCATCAAACCTGGATGGCAAGTGCTTAGACCTTTGGGGTCTGGTGTTATGTGTCTGTGCAACCTTATTCTTCTCACCATGATCTTCTCCACAGTCAGACTCTTCAAGTGTTAAAGACACTTTTGAAATTGTAGTGCTGGGTTGCTTAAACCATTCCCATGCTTCTGCTTCATCAATGTGCACATCCCGGCTCAACATAATCTTCTTGGCAACTGGATCATACAGTTCGTAGGCACCTGTAGAGTGGTATCCAACAAGAATTGTTGGTTGGCTCTTATCATCTAACTTTCTTCTTCTCTCATCATGAATGTGTCTGAAACATAGAGAGCCAAATATCCTCAAGTGTTTGAAATTTGGTTTCTTCCCTGTCCACACTTCTTTAGGTACAAGGGAATCAAGCCTCTTAGTGGGGCACTTGTTCAACACATACATAGCTGTAGTGATAGCCTCTCCCCAAAAACTGTGAGGTAGACCTTTTGTCTTCATCATACTCCTTGTCATATCAAGGACAATTCTATTTCTCCTTTCTGTCAAGCCATTGTGCTGAGGAGTATATGGGGGCAGTTACTTCATGTTGGATGCCATGTTCTTAACAGAAAGATTCAAACTCTTTGGATGTATACTCACCCTCTCCATCTGTTCTGATCACCTTGATGCTTTTCTCAGCCTCCCTGTCAACTTTAGTTTTAAACATCTGGAAGATGAGAAACACTTCAGACTTAGACTTCACCAAGTAAATCCACATCATTATGTTGAATTCATTCACAAAGGAGACAAAGTATTTGTTCCCTCCCAAAGATGGAACCTCAAAAGGTCCACAGACATCAAAATGGACTACTCTTAGTACACCAGTGGCTCTCATTGGAATATGGGATGTGAATGAATTCCTTGATTTCCCAAGCAGCCAGTCTTTACACATCTTGTCTTGCACACTAATCACAGGCAATCCAGTCACCATGTTTGTAGAACTCAGCATACTTAGGCTTCTGAAGTTTAAGTGTCCAAGTCGAAAATGCCATAGCTAGGACTGATCTCCAATGGTTGCAGCTATAAAACACTTGGCTTCTGTAGCAGGAATATCAACCTAAAAGGTTCTATTCTTGGAGATAGGAACCTTTAGGATTCTCTTATGTTGGGGATCAATCACCTCCATACATTGTCACTGCATGTGTATTGTGAATCCTTTCTCCAGTAGGCTCAGCAGATTATTCTTCACCTCAAGCACGTACAATACATTAGAGATAAAGGCACTTTTTCCATTTCTTCCTCTGATCATCACATTCCCCACACCTTTTTCTCGCAGTGTTCTGTTATTAGCAAATCTAACCTTTCCTTTCTTACTTTCATTAAGATCAACAAGCCACTCTTTATGGTTGGTCATGTGATTAGAACAACCAATATCAATATACCAGGTTTCAGTGTTGCCTAACTCAATAGTTGTTGTCACCATGAGGAGCACTGGATCATCATCAGAATCACCATCTTTGTTAGACAAGTAGCCTCATATAATTTAAGAAGAGGGTGAATTAAGTTTTCCAAGTTTTCCTCTTTTAGAAATTTTTTGAATTACTTTCTTATAAATTCAATTCATTAGATAAATTTATATGTAAAAAATGAAGATGCACACTTCTTAAATACAATCAAAGTAATAAATAAAATAGTAAGGAGAAAAAAAAAAGACAAAATAGAAAGAGAGTGATGAAGAGAAAAGAGAAATAAGAGAGAGAAATTTAGAAAGA